GAACAGGCTCCAGCTATGAACTCTCTTAACCACTCGATCACTTCTAATCCTTCCAGCAATATTGTACCCTTTTTCGCTTCCCTTACCTTCAGGCTTACCTTCCCCTTGATTCTCATCTCTTTGAACAGGAAATTTTTTGCTTCTATCTTCAAGGATCTCCTCCACAGACCTGCCTGCACGAACTCCATTTCTCTCCCCCTCAAATTCTTCTTTGTTATGAATCACTTTCAGAAGCTATTAAACCATTACTGGATGTGCAAGGCAACCCGGGCACACCTTCTGGAAGGGACATCACTTGCCTGATGATTGCATTTTGATGCCACTTGGAATATGCTGAATACTAACAGCAGGTTCAGCTTCAGAAGTAAGCTGCTCTTTTCCTCTAGGTGATAGGGATGATATCACCAAATCTTGATCATCAACTTGTAGATCAGAAGCTGTTGCAAGGAACAGAGGAATAACATCCACAGTAGCCAAGCTAGTCTGCAAGAGAAATTTCTACCTTTTCCTTTTGCCCTCATAGGAAAAAAAAAAAGAATTTTGATTTGATTTTTTTTTGGTGGGAAGGGGGATATTTAGTGATGGCATCTAATGCTTGTTATATGTGTCTTTTTAGTCTTGAGCATTTCTTGTTGTTAACCATGTTCAACTGTCTTACTTTATGTATACCTTTCGAAAATAACTGTTTTGCTTTATGTTTGCTTTGCTATTTTAATTCTGTTGTTATTAGTTGTATTCTTTGAAACGATGTGAATAGTCACCACTGTGATTCCTTTAGGAGTGAGTAGACATCCTTAAAATTCTAAAAAGAAGGTTCTTTCTTTTGGTTGACCTATGTTTGTCTCATGAGTTTGTGGGTGGCTTTTAGTTACTCTTCTTGGTTGTGGTCCTTATCTGTAAGGGCATTCTTTTCTTTATTCATTGTAGGTTCATGTGGGAGAGTATGGTGTACATTGGAATTTCTTTTTCACACTTGCAGCTGTATCCATTTTAACATTCATCATTAACATTCATCCCCAATATTGCGGTATTCTAGGTTCATTAATTCTAATAGGTATATCCCTAATTTGTTTAGTCTTTTTTATACTTTTTAGTTGGTTTCTTTTAGAAAATTAACTGATATACTAATTTTCTTGCAGGATACCAAATATGCTTGATGTCTGGGTTAAATGAGTATGTCATTTCTAACGAAAGGGCAATGAACATCATTAGCCAAAATAAGGAGGGAATTTTTAGTATATTTGGTAAGGACAATGTAAAGATCCTCCTTAATCTTCTTGATTGAAATCCTGTTTTGTTTAGGTTTCTAAGCTGGGGTTAAATTGTTCAATCTTTTTTCTTTTTTGGTTTTACCTATACAGCTGTTTTCTCTAAACCAGTCCTTAGATTTTCTAGCTTCTTCATTTATAAAATATATAGTACATTCTAAACCTTTCTTTGGGGGTGAGGTTGAGTGCTTGGCGGAAAGGGTGGAGGGGTGGGTAGGGTTGTTTCTGTCTTGTATACTTAGTTGATTCTTGAGAATGCTGAATGACAGGCTTTCCTCTCCCAGGAATACATGCCTTGTGTATTCCTTGTATTTCATTCTTTATGAATGAAATCTCTGATCAGTTACTACTTACTAATCCAAATAAAGGTTCTACACTCTTAGTTAAAACCTGCTAAAAACTACCCAAATGTTGAGCCAACATGTACTTGTACATACATACATACGAGGGGGGGGGGATTAGTTAGAAAGCTGGTGGCGGATCTAGCATCTGCTTTTGGAAAGACCCATGCTAGATGGTCAACTATTGATGGAACTTTTCAAACTTTATTCATGGCAGCTTATAGCAAGAATGAACTGGTCAATAAATGCTATGAATTTAAAACAGTACAATGATTTGGGATCCGCAAGTTAGAACAAGTCTCAATGACTGAAGGTAGAATCTATGGCAATGTTGCTGCAGAAAATTCAAACAATAACACTTCTGAGTCTAGCGGATAGAAGGGTTGGGAAGTGGGGGCATTCAGGCTCATCCAATTTGGTCCTTTTGTAAGACATAATGCACAGACTGACATCAACTTCCCAAGCTCCAAGGTTTTGTGATCTGCTCTTCCCTCATGAGTGAAATTTTTGGTATGATGGGAACACTAGAGAAATGCCTAATAGTTGACAAACTTTTGATGAGAGGAAGGATCATGGACAGCTTGTCTCTGTCTTATGCTTTGTTGATTATTTCCTGTCACAGTTGAGAACTTTCTTAAAGGCTGGTTGAAGGGATGAGAGATCCATTGTATGGACGCCCAAATCTTGCGGAATAAAGGGGCAAATTTCAAAAATTTCTCTCCCTTCAACTGGAAATCGCATTCCCTATTTAGAAAATCATATTTTCAAGGATCATTCTTGAACCATAAACTGAACCAGATCTGAACCAAAAGGAGTATGAGAGAATTATACCTGATACGGAGAAACAATATCT